TTTCCAGTGGACTTCTACTTAAGGCCCAGTTAAAGTGACGTTTGTAATACTAGTTTTGTACTTGTGTCTCCCCAGCAAAGTGAATTCTGTGACCGGCTGTGACCATGTTTCAGTGATCATTAGTCATCTTTTACATCTACTACCCACTTGGCAATATGCCTTGCATATAGTCGGCTTTGAATAAATGTTTTCAAATTGAAATGACAATCACATATATAAATCTTCCATATGACAGGAAATATAGAAGAGTCTACCACCATATGGAAAACTACTTAAGATTTTCTCCCTTTTGAATAAGTTTAGTCTCTAAGAAAATTAGACTATATTTTAAAGAAATCATTACATTATTGTCATCTCTGGAGTATATGGATGAGAAATGATATTTAAAAAGAAAATGCAAGCAGACTTACAACATAACACTATTACGCCGCTGTATATAAATTACTTTCGCATTCAGTACAACGGGGATTCTAAGGGTGTTGCTATCGAATAAGTTCTTCAAAAGGATAAAAATGAGGTGTTTTTTTTATTTTTCTGCTTTTTTAAATGTACCTGCTGCCAAAATCTCTGGACAAATGTATATCATTAAAATGCATAAATGAAAACTTGTAAGGAAAGTAAAAGAATAAGACCAAGAAGAACAAATGAAAACAAAAACAGCATATTGAGTTCCTAATGTGAGTAATGTTTTTCTGAAGGGAAAAAACTGTCCAAAATACAGTATCTGTCCAATGAAATCTTCATTCTCCGAACAACCTACATTCCTTATCATTCTTAGAGATTAGAATACTACTGCCTACACCACGATACCATTAGGCTTGGGGAGGTATGCCTTAACTGTTCGAACAGAATTTTTGCACAAAACACCTACTAGCCTTCAACTCTGAAAATCACGTCAAATCTAGTACTGCTGTCTTTCTCAAGAAAAGGCTAAATTATTCAGACAACATCAGTATTACCTTGTTAAAGATACACTAACATTTTCAAAAGGTTTGTAACCATCCAGACAAATACATTGCTAGACTTTCAACCTACTATTGATTTCCTATAACATGATTATTTATGTCTCACGTAAGTTCAGAGTATGGTACTGCAGTCTTGGATTCCTCACTCTTGGTGGGAACTTGGTAAACCACGTAAGCTCCCTGGGCTCCAGATCACTGGTTGGAGATGATTGTTTTTATATAGATGATTTCTTGTTTTGTTTTGTTTTACAGATTAACCACTCCCCCTCTCAATTTTTTTTCTGACAGCCATTTCGATCTGCTTCCCACCATGACTGAGACAAGACAAGCAGAGAGAGAGTTAATGCTGGCGGTGAACTCCCAGTACTTGTAGGGACTGGAAAGCCCTCAAGAGGTTATGGAGCATTCAGGTGAACCTGAGTCACACCCCTGACTCGACCGCAGGATTGCACTGTGACATGGCACTGCACAGTCTTCCCAAGAAAGGGGGTTTACCTTCATAGGAGCTCGGTTACCTATTATTACTATTATTATATTACTGGGTTTCTGGTTGTTCTCCATTCCCTGGAATCCTTACAGACTACTGACTTTGAAAGATGGGAATCATTAGGATATATCAGACATAAATGCCAATCCGGCAGGTCCGAAGTGAACTAAACATAAAAATGACAGCAGGGCAGAACACTGGCCTGCATTTCCCTGTGATTCTGTTGAAGCGTGTCTGTGTCTGGGGTAGAGGTGAAAACAGTGAAAACATTCTGTGAGGCACACCTAGCGGGGTCTTCATCCAGGAACTTCACTCCTGCAGGTCTATAGAAGAGCGTTGCTGGCTAAACAAGGAGCACCCATGGAATCAATCATCCATGGGCAGGGCCGGAACAAAAGGGAGAGAGGATTATGTAATAACAGTCAACTTTCTAACCCGAAAAATAGAGACAGATGATTAGCCAGGGGAAAAAATGGAAAACACCTTGCGAGAGCCTTGGACAAGGACGAGCGTAACAAAGGTAAGCCTCTGAGTGCCATACATCCATCCTGACAGTCCATCCAAACACATTGTTTCTTAAATAAAACAAAACCCAGAAAAGCCATCCAGGTCTATAAAACATGCTGCCAAGAAATGGAAGTTCTCCAAATGACATTTTATGTTATTCTAATTCATTGCATATTATGTATACATAGATTTGACTCATGTGGGTATGAACCAAAGCTGGAATATCTAGAAAATTAGAGGAAGAATTCATATTAATTTAGATTTTAAATACCTATTATCCAATTTATAGTCTCTATGCTATATTATTTAAATAGTATCAAAGATATTAATAATCAAGAAGTCTATGGTACTAAAAATAATGTTTTTCTGTTAAATGTACCATAATTTCAGATTCCAATAGCAAATCTCCCCTGCCAGCAGAGGAAATGCTAACTGGGCTCACAGCGTTTGTAATACAACGAGGAAGCAGTAACTGGCATGAGTAACAGAGCCACTGCACCTTGGCCTTCTGAGAGGCTTGGCCTGAATCACAGGCAACAGGTAAAATTTAAGCTTTGCTATAGTTCGTGAGACAAGGAAGATAAGCCATCGTGTTATTGTTTTCTTAAGGAATGGGCATTCATATAATATGCAAAGACCTGCAAAATGGAGATGACAAATCAAGACCTCAGAGAAGGTGACCACACAGGACCCGAGGCAGAACATCAAAAAGGGCCCTTGGGATCAAGAGAATACTGCTAGCGAAATGCAGTTTGACATTTCAAATAGGAAGTTACTGAAAATACATTCAATGTCGTCCACAGCACCGTTGTTGGCTTTTATTGGAAAATGAAAATGTGAGGTAGCATTCCACGTGATCTTAGATATGAATCTGAGAAACTGATGCTTATCTGTAACTATCTGTCCAGGGAAAATGGAAAAGTATCCACAAGAATGCTACTGTGTTCCTGAAAAGTGACCTAACAGAATTGCCCTTACAACCATATGAAAGTAACGATCTATTTCATGTTTGCCCTTCATGGCATTGCCCCACAAAGGAGCAGAGATTATTCCTTGTGAGACTGTCTCAGGAATGTGTTTGTTTATTCAGAGACAGTTCTTTCAGGAGAAGAGCTCATCAGGAATGTGTTTAGATGTTTTTTTAAGTCTGCTGAAAGCGTCTTTGGAAAATCCTAATTTCTCTACCATCCCAGTGTAATGCAACTTCGAGAACAGACACTGCTACTGAAGAATTCATCACCCTGTAAGTCATTCTAAGCAAAACCATGTCATGTCAGGTTATTTGACATAATCCCCCCAAATACGTTAGAACAAGTTAAGTAAAACACACTTGTTAAAAAAAGAAAGAGGGATAAAAAGAGATAGTTATTTGTAATAAGACAAATGAACATTGATAAATCCTAAGATAATAAAGTCACTGATATAATACTGAGTGTTTTTCTCACTCTTTTTGAATAAGAAAATTGCTTTACATGCTCAAGAAAATTGACTCCCATATAGCTATGATAATCTTACTTCTAAAATTTTATGAAAATCATCTGAGTATATTCTCTGTCAATACTGCCTTGGAATTATCTTTATAAAGGGACTCGATCCACCCCACCCCCCAAAAAAATATAGTTAAAGGTCAGCAGCAGAGGGTTTGCGCCTGAATTCTAGAACAAAGGACAAGATGGCTCAATGTGCCCCAACAGGAAGTGGTGCATTGCAATTCCCAAATCACCTACCTCTTCTGGGGCTTCCTCGATGTCTCTGGATTTGTACTCTGTCAATCAAAAGCAACCCCGATGGACTCCCCAGTTGCAATCAAGGGAACGAAATTCACAACTTAGCAGCTAAATAGGCATTATTTTCACATACATCCACATTAAAATTTACAGATGGAATGAGAGGCCAAAAAGAATCTAAAGATATTGAAAACAATTTGCTGAAAAGTACTCATTCTACTCACCTCCATGGAAAATGTCTACTAACAGCATGCGTACTGCAAATAGGAAGTGGACCTGCTCTTTATAATTTCAAGGATTGATTTGAAAGAAATTGGTGTTGGTGTAGTAGTTTAACCCAGTAATGAAGTGGAACATTTTACCAATTACAGAAGTAAGAGAAAGAAAAAGGAAAACTTCCTCCCCAGCCTGTGTGAACAAGCCGGG